AAAAAAAAAATCATAGCTCCGTCCTTGCTTATACATCATACCTAAAGTGAGTTCTATTATTATTTGTTTTCAATGATAAAAGTGTTTTAATGTGGTTTCATGCTAAGGTTTGCCTAAACGGATATAATGTTATTCAAGATATTATATTTATTATCCATTAAACAACATCTAAAGAACAATATCTCTTATATATTGAATCTTTTTATCTTGGGTTTTAAAGAACATGATATGTTATTATATCTTTTCATTCTAGGTTATTCAAAAGTGATGGGCACAGTTATATATAAAAGGCTTATTATAGTTTGAAAATTTTATAATATTTATTAAGTAATGTATGAAGAACAAGGCTCTTATTGGACTATTCTATCGTGGCCTACTTAATAAGTGATGTGGATATAAAATTGAATTATGAAATGGGGAATTATTATATGATGATCAAATTAATTTTAGTGGTTAATATCTTAGAGATCATGTATTAATTGATATTATCAAGGTTAAAATTTATTGATTTTAACCGATCTTACTTGAAATGAGAAAATATCATTTTTGTTATTCCTTCACTTTCTAAAAATTATATCCCTTTTGGTTCCCATTTGATCTTGATAGAATATTTCTTTTTAAAAAACCCTGATTAGGATCACACCCCACACTAGGAACAAATAAAAAATATTTTAAAGACATTGATAAAATCAATAGAAAAGTATAAGAAACAGCAAAACATAATAATAAAATCAAAAGACACAAAATAGTTATAAACGATAGTGTAAATCCAATCTAAACTTTTTACGATTGTCCATAGTTGACCAATTTATGTGAATCGTGGAGGAATCAAGTATAGGTATAAAATATTGTAGTTTGTCAATCAATTGTTCAGCAGTATCAACAGAAATTATGATTTATCGCGCCGAAGGTGTTCAAAATTTCTATTCCACAGCATGATCAATGATTAGTACTTAAAAGTGCATTTTTATCATGGTTTTATATCATCTTTTTGCACTTGAAGTATCAATAACTCCTTAACTAAAGCATGTTTTATAATAATATATCTAATAATTCAATTAGTCATCAAATAGTTGTGATTATAGCTCATATCTTTCTTTGGTTTTACCTCTAAAAATGGTTTAAATGCCCTTTGTTGGTCGAGGATAGGCTTCCTACTTAGTTTTCTTAAAAACTCACAAACAGGATCTTTTTTAGTCAGATTCCCAAGACTATGTTGAGCATGTTCTTTATGGAATTATGGCTATAAATCATGAATTGCACAATGCATATCTCCACTAGAATGCATCTCAAAAGTCAATAAAAGATTATCTAAAGACCCTTACCCAGGCCATCCTTAATGAATTGTATTTTATCTTCATGGTTTATAAACATCATTCCTAAAGAATAACATTTTGTATTACAAGTTCATCTAGCATATTTGTGACAGACTTGGAGTTATTTTTCTTGACGTTTTTTTTTGCAAAAGTGTTTTTACCTATTCCAGGCCTGTATGAAATAAAGGTGTTGGAAGACTCACTTGATAATAAGATCTTTGCTTCATTTAGCTAGTGAATATCTTCAGGAATTCCATGGTTCATTAACAACCACAATCTATCACACCTAGCATGGTAAATTTTTTTAATCATATTTTGAGATAAAGTGGAAAAATACTTTTTTAATTGTTTAAAAGTGGTGTCCATTTTCAAATGAGAATTAGAGAAAAAATATAAATGAAGAAAAATGAGCAAAAATTACACCAATATAGACACAAATATTAGTTATAAGCAAGCAAATGACAAGGTTTTTCATATACTACTCTATAAGGTGATATACTTAATGATGTTTTATAAGTAGTTCGATAAGCCTAAAGTGTATCATTAAGTCTTAAAGACTAGTCTTTCCTATTCGAGTTCACTATTTTTTCCAAGATTTGTTTGATCTCCCTATTAGCCAATTCTATTTGTCCCCTTATCTAAGGGTGATAAGGGGTGGCAACTTTATGTATGATTCTATATTTCTTCATTAAAGATTCAAATAACTTATTACATAAATATGTTCCATCATCACTTATCATGGCTCGAGCGATTCAAATTTGACTTAAAATATTTTCTTTTAAAAACTTAATCATTATTTTATGATCATTCTTTTGACTTAGAATTGCCTCTATCCATTTTGAAATATAATCTATTGCGACTAATATATATAAGAAACCAAATGATAAAGAAAACGGACCCATGAAATCCATACTCCAACAGTAAAAAATCTCAATGATGAGAATAGGATTTAAAGGCATCATATGATGTTTTAAAAGTAATCCCAACTTTTTACAATTTTCACAAGTTTTGTAAAAAGCATGTGTCTTTAAACATGGCGACCAGTAAAATCCACTTCATAAGATTTTTGCAGTTGTTTTTTTATAAGAAATGACCACCACATGTCGTAGAATGATAAAATTTAATAACACTACTTATCTCATTGCCTAGAATGCATCTTTGAAATATTTGATTAGGATAATATTTAAATAAGTAAGGGTCATCCCTGTCACACCCGACATCGCGCCAACCATAAAAATTAGTATTTTTAGAAAGAATGGATTTCTAGGATCCTATTCCTTAACGGGAAATATTCTTATTTAAGGAATCTCCACCTAGTATTATGGTAACTAGGAACCTTAACTGGTTAACATAGATTCTATGATACGAGATTGGTTATGTAAAAGGGAGATATTATCACCCCTTAAACGTCCTGCCTAAGGCAGGCTACATTGTTGATCTTTGTCATTGATTGCTAACATTTTTGTTGGTTAATACTATAATGGTTTGCATGTAATACTCCTAACTCTGGTACCTGTAAATATTTAACTAAGGATATTTCCAATTCTAGCGTTGATAAATATTATGTAGCTATGAAACAAAATAAATTTAAATCAATATTTTTTTTATTCCTGATTCTAGCATCAGTGAATAAATAAATTAAATAAATTTATTTTTACGCATCAAAAAAAAAATTTAATCAGCATTTTTATTTTAACTCTAGCGTCAATGGATAAAAAAAATTCATATTTATATTTTTTTTACACATATAATTTTTATTATTTATTTTTATTATTTTTATTTTTAGGCCAGACTGGACCCTGTTAGCTCAACTCGATCACCGGTCTGGAACCAGTCAGCGTGACTCGATCACCAGCCCAAACGAGTGACTTGGCTGGGCTAAGTAACACGTGTGCGCTACTGTACGCGTGTTGCTATACTGTACAAGTGAATTTAAGATCATTTGCACAGTGTAAATGCTAATTAACAAAGACAATGAAAGAAGAAGAGGTCGCTTACCGGTTCTGTTGGAGGCGATGGAGACGGTGACGAAGCTCTGGCTAGCCGACACCACTTCCTCTCCTCTACTCCTTCTGCTTTCCTTTGCATCTTTGGCTGCTACTAACTTGGTGTGATAAGCTGGAGACGAGCGGCTGTAATCAACGCCGGCAGCTCCTCTGTTTTTATTTGCTTGCACTCGAGGGACGGAGATGAAGCATAGCACCCTAGCTCTTGCTCTCCTCCATCTTCTCTGTTTCTTTCCACTTTTCGCTCGTCACTGGTTTCCAAAGACTGTGAAGATGATTGTGATGAAGGTAGTTGTGTTTCGTTCCTCATCCCCCTGGTTTTCGGTCCAATCCCCATTGTTTTCTTCTCTGGTTCCTGGCCTCTGTTGCTTGCAAACGAAGATGACGGTATGGAAGGGTCGTTCCACCAACACGGCTTTCTCTCCTCTGTTTTAGTTTTTCACCCCCCAGTTCAGCCCTTTTTTTTATCTGTGAATTTGCCCTCAGTTGCTCCCCCGTATTTGTTGTTTTTTTATGCTCTCGTTCCTCTTTTTGTTCTGTCGTCCCCTCTCTCAGGACGAAGACGATGGTGATAAAGGCACGAGGTGCTGCTGGTTGAATAGAAGCTCCCTCCTCTGTGTTTTCTCTTTTCGTCTCTGTGTTAGGCTTGTTTGCCAAAGCCCTCGTTTTACCTTTCTTTTCCCCGTGTTCTGGGTTTTCCTTCTCTTCCCTATGGCCTTCTCTGGCTTTTATAAACCCAGAGGATGGCCACTGTTCACGTGTTCGTGCCTCCAGATCGCGAGGTACGAACACCTCTGTTTCCTTGAGAAGAAACAGGGGCAGAAAATTTGCTCTTACTATCTTTCTTTTTTTTCGTATACTCCTCCCAGTTTTTCTTCTTTTCCTCCAGGTCGTCTTCTCTCTCCCTATGAGAAGAAACAGGGGCAGAAAATTTGCTCTTACTATCTTTCTTTTTTTTCGTATACTCCTCCCAGTTTTTCTTCTTTTCCTCCAGGTCGTCTTCTCTCTCCCTCTTTTTTCTCCTTTTTCTCTGGCTTTTATAAAGCCAGAGAACATGGAAATCAGGGTGAGCCATGTTCGTCCATGCGTCCCACGATCTGCAGTTACAGATATCCTGCTG